GCCTGTAGGGAAGACAGAAATAATCTGCTTTGACACCAGGGGATTTCTGGCAGCATGAGTCATTGACTGTTCCCCAAAGCCTGTTTTGAGTTTTCCTTGGGATTCTGAGCTTTTTTTCCAGTAAATTCAGGTGGATACAGTGTGTACTTACCTCTGGATTCATGTCCTGACCTCTAAAAACAGTTGAACTGTAGATGATCTGTCTGTCAAACCTCTGCTCCAAGAGAATTCTGTGCTCTGGCTTAGAGACATTATCTACCTGTTATCTATTTGTAAACCATCAGGACTGCTGCTAATCTTTCTGGAATAACTCAAGTCCTGTTAGGTAAGAAGAAATTAAGGCAGGCCCACAGTTACTGGAGTTACCTACACACAAAAATATACTGGTTACACTTTCCAGAAAAGGGAGATAGTTTGTCTAGTTTGTTGCTCAGATCTTCACAAAGCATTAAAGCACTCACCAGAAGTGATCTTTCTTTACTTAGAAAGGTTTTCTTAGACAAAACATTTTCCACTGTTCTGAGGAAGTGTGAAGTTGTTGTTTTTTCTTAGTTCTAGGATGGTTTTGTAATATTACTTCTTGTTCCACGGCACTGCAAACACAGAACCTTAGAGTACATAACAGATCTTAAGAAAATTCACTTTTGATGTTTTGGAATAAAAATACTAGAAAAATAAGGGTAGATAATAAAAATAAGGTGGCAACATAGATTGGTTTATTCTAACGCCTTCAAGAAAGCTGGTGATTAAAACTGTATAGGGGAATTCAGTTTAGCATAGTGGAAGAAGTTTCTTACCTCCTAAGTTTGGGTCAAGCATTTGCTTTAAAGAAGATTTAAAGAAACCCAAACAACAAGTCCTAGAGCATAATGAATAATCAAAGGGTTTGTGTGTTTACCAGGACCTTGTAAGACATCCTCATTTACATTTGTGCTAAGTATCATTCAGGTGAGAGAATTTATCCAACCACTCTCTGTTCCTGTAGGGTTTCTATGCACCAAGTTATCACTAGCTTTTGCTGTCTGCTTAGGAGCAAGGGTTTGAGCTTACCTCTAGCACCTCCTAGTGAATGTCCAAACTTACAGGCCTTTGGTGTTTTCCTTCACTTTCTTGCTCTGCATGATTTTGAAGGAAAAACAAACAAAATTTTCCTCTTGCCCCTATAATTTAATGACTAAAAATTCCATCAAGACAAAAATTGATGTACAATCAGCAAATTTTATAATTCAGAGGAGATTATGTGACGCAGTACCTGATACACATCCTGGAATCTCCAAGCAATCCCTCCATACCATCCTAACGTTAGCTGCTGGCTGTTTCTTCCCTTTTCAGAAAGAACAGGCTTTGAGCCAAGACTCTTTGGTGAAAACCAACTTTGCTTCTCCTCACTGTGTCTCCTCAGCTGTTTACCTCCAGCGCTGGTGCATTTTGTGCCTGTCTGCCTACCATCCGCATCTGCAGCCAAGCTCTGAAATGCTGCACTACTGTTCCACATGTTCTGTGGGAATTTCTTTCAGGAACAGAAGAGCTATATAGCTGTATAATGTTATGAGCGCTCTACTTTTTTTTCCATAAATTAAGTAATCATTTTTTGTGCCTCTTGCACTGAACAAATCCCTTGTTATGATATAGCAGGGATATTAACAACCTCATGCATGACCAGAGGAACAGGCTGAAGCCAGAAAGGAGAGAGAATATGAAAAAAAATAGCAATGAAACCAAGTGTGAGCACCATCAGTTTAGTCACAAGAAGGATTAGGCCTAAATCCACAGTGTTAAACACATCAGCTTTAAACACCTCAGTAGCCCTACTAATGAAGTCATTGAGGGTTACTGATGTGATTAAACAGCTGGTTGACTGCTGCCTCATGAGCCTTAGCACCTGTAATTTCTCTAGGACACACTGAAAATTTAGTTAACACTTTTTCAGATTTTGTATTAGCAACATGGTTATTGTCATCTCTGTAGTTCGTTCATCTACAAGCTGGTGATTTCCTCTTACGTCTGTCTTGCACCTTCAAGAGGCGCTCACCCTCATTCAGTGTATTTTTATTTTGTTGCACATTAACGCTGGAACTAGGCAAAACCATCCAGTAAAATCCTTCAACATTTGTTCTCACTTTTCAGCAATTTTTCCCCAAGCCTTTCAACATCGTGTGTGTTCAGTTAGTCTATTTTAGCAAATGACTTTGCCCATATCAGTTCTGCACGTTCATGCTGCACATACCATTACCTGAATGCAGTTACAGCAGAGGAAGTTACCATGTGGACAGTACACCTAAGAAGATGCTGATGTGAAAGACTTAACCAAAAACAAAAATAACAAGTGGTCTTGAAAATTGTTGTCTGGGAAAGTGGAAACCCTCAAACTGTCCATAATACTTGAATGACTAGCTGCAACACAATATGCAGTGGCCAGTATAAAAAAAGGCTTCTGGAGCTGCCTACACTTGGGTTTATTTTAGGGGCTATTTTACAGGGGATGGTGAAGTGTCTGTGTAACTGATACATTCTGCAACACTATTTCAATCTTTGGGACTTTGCAACTGGTATTTTAGAGTTTAGCATGTCAAAAACCCATGAAGGAGATTAGCTACCAGAAGACACTGCTGGCAACGTCACTGAGTGTAGTACAGCAGCAAGAGTGGGGTGATGTGGATGTAACACCCTCACGTGCTGCATGGTGCTTGTGATGCACGGTGACTAATACAAAGTGTACTGTAAGGATTTGCTATTGGCACATACTCTGTTTACTTACATGATGAGTTATGAAAGAGAAGGTATTTCCCAATGCCTAGAAGAGAAACCCTTACTCAAGCACCGTTGTCATCAATTCCAGCCCAAGAAGCTGGTGTGCAACTGTGTGTTGTGAATATTTTGCGTAGTGAATCGTGTGTGGACTGTGTCCCTGTCCTGCCCCACATAGGAGGACCCAGCCAAAATGAAGACACTGCTGCGTAAGTACTAATCTGTCACTGATGAGTGGCAGGGAATCTGCTTCAGGCAGAGCCTCATCCTAAGACCTGTGAAGTCAAGCCAGGGGTGGGGAGGAGTATTTCTGGATGAGTTGGTGAGTTTTGGACCAGGCCTGGGCACCCAAGAAGAGAAAGTCTCACAGCCATGGCAGATGACATGCCTCATACCTGCCTGCATCACAGTCAAAGTTAGATAGCTCCTGAAATGAAAAATAAGGATGTGATTAGGAAGAGCAGGCACAGCAGGCTTCCAGAAGACTTTTAGCTCAGGCCTTCACAAGGACATGTTACCAATACATTACCTGTGTATTTCTAAATCATAGAATTACAGAATCACAGAATCACAGAATGGTTGGGGTTGGAAGGGACCTTAAAGGTCATCTAATTCCAACCCAACTACCATAGGCATGGACACCTTCCACTAGAGCAGGTTGCTCAAAGCCCATTAAATTCCTAAGAGTATTCAAGAACAAAATTCATATTGTGGTTTAAACTTGTTTTACTCAAAGTACTAACATATAAGGTAAGATGATTTTGCTTCAGTATAAAAAAAGTGATTCTATCTGAAATTCATTTATCCTGTGTCACCCCTTAAAATGTTTTTTACAGAGGTACTTGAAAAAACTATGCATATGTCTTTATTCTGTTTATTTTTCTGTTTGAGTACATAATTTATTGTCACTTTTTCTGGTGGGCTTGCTCATGTTTATTCCTTTTGCTATGCTTCCTGCTATGAATCTGAACATGTCCTCTATCTATTTATCAATAAATTCTAAATAAGCTTCAAGCTGGCCACAAAAACTACCAAAATCAATGAAAGATTCTATGCTGGCTTCTAAGAAAACCAGTCCCTAGTTCTAGGAACCTGGTGTGTGTCCATGCTTGGCATTCTAAGATTTGTGAATGAAAGGCATATGCATTATTAAATGTACTCAAACACTCTTAATAAACATACATTTCCTTCCTGAATTGCAAAATGCTGCCAAAGTATTACATGTTCATTTTCATGACAAGACCAGTGATGTACTTGGACAGCCCCTGCAAATGTATGGCGTGTGTTTACTTACACATAAATCCTTAGTTTATGACTAATGTGGAAAATAAATGTTGGGAGACTCAAGGCATCACTTCAGATTTGCAAAGTAAGTGTTGAAAGGAAGTTTTCTGATTTGCTGGTACACAGTGTGGAGTCCAAACACAAAGAGCCCTTTCAGGATAGTTTAGTATTAGCAATTTCGGTTCCAATCAAAAGCCTTTGAAGGCACATACGTTTTCAGTCATGTGAGCACCCCAATGAACTCAAATGAAGCCACATTCTGAGGCTTCAGCAGGGCTGTGACATGTACTTACATGTAAATACTCACATGTACTTATGACTAAATGTATTCTAACCTCCTTTTTTGGATCAGGATCATGTTTTCAAGTGCTCTAGATGCAAGAAAACAGGGTGTTTCTAAACTCTTGGTGACTTCTAGTTAATGAAATATCACCACAGGATAGGATAGGCTAATCTATATAATTTGCATGGAGTTCATTAAATCATTTTAAAAAAATTAAATACAGAGTATATTTAGCTTGGTACTCAGAAGTGTTAACACCATACTTCTAATGTGACAGATTGGCTTTCAAAGCAATATAAAACACGGGTCTCAGCATATAGAATTTTTTATTTCCACAACTTAAGGATGTTGTTAAGATCCATGTGCCTTTTTAAGATCTATTCCATCATTTAACATCCAACCAGTGCTAGTTAGCTTTCAGTGCCCTGGAGAAGTTAAAAAGGGGACCTTTTATTACTCATTTTTTTCATAAAGTAGAAGTTAGAAATGAAGACTGACTTTGTTTCTGTTGTTGGCATAAAGATTTTTCTGTTCATCAAACAAATTAGTGTTTTAAATAAAAGTAATGTTAACTTTGCAAAAAAAGCAACATATTCAGTTTATGACCAAATAGTTATTTGTATGCTTTATTTCTTCTTTTATTCCCCCTTATTTTCTTTCTCACACCTTCCCTCCCACCCTGTAGGTGACGTGTATGCAGTGGTTGCAAGGGGACCATACCATGCTGGATATGATTGAGAAAAAACGTTGCCTCTGCAAAGAAATTAAAGCTCGGCAGAAATCAGAAAAAGGACTCTGCAAACAGGACAGCATGCCTATTTTGCCGAGTTGGAAAAAGAATACTGGGACCAAGAAATACAGTCCACCTCCTTATTCCAAACAACAAACTGTTTTCTGGGACACTGCAATTTGACAGGCGTGTGGAGGATGTGTACTCCACTGTGTTGCACCATGCACAGGTAGCCTGCTTTCTTAATAAGGCAAAGGCTCTAACCTAAGACTTACCTGCAGGTGGTGAACTTCCTAGGAAAAGTACCGATACAGTGCTCACCTGTCAATCAAGAGAGAGATTTAAGTTTCCAACTGGATTAAGGCATACATATTTATCCGGGATTTTTTTTGGATCCAGATGATATCAAAATGTAAATATTTCAACAATATATTGAAACCACCCAAACTGATACACTGTTTAAATATATATATAAATTCAAAAATTTATGAAGAATTTTACTATATAATGTTACTGTTATACTGTTTTATTACCTATTTTCTATGTGGTATTCTAATGTCCTCACCCCTCCCTCCACCACCATTTTATTTCTCTTACCTGCCTAGATTTGGCCTCTGTCTGTACAAAAGCATGTGGTTGTGCGTTTTGTTGAACAGGACAATGTACAAAACAACTCGGTGCTAGGGCTGTAGAAGTTACCTAGAGTCGTACTTGTTAGATGTCCTTAGCTTTAGAGGGGGAGGGCTGGACAAAGGAAAGAGTTTTGGTGAGAAACAGCAAAACTGCAAACAATGCAAATAAAAGTGCTTAATGTGAATGCCCAAGTTGCATTTAAAATACTAATTATTCTGCATCAGTTTTTCCATAAAGTTAATCTGATAAATTGCCCCTGGCTTTATGTGAATCAGTTACTAAAATTATTTGGCCAAGAAATGAAATTTTCTGCAAAAAAGCCTGCAACATAAACTCTTCCTTCGTTGTATTCAGAGACCATGGTTCACTGTGACTAAGCATCGTACAGCCCGTGACGGAGAGACCCAGTCACTTGGCAGGTTAAGGCAGTGGCACTGCAGCCACGGTTCCTGTGCACATTTGTCTTTGGTCCAGAAAATAAAGGCGACAATATCTGTTTACATATGTATTATTTTCAAATCCAGCAACACATCCTTACTTTAAGCTGTGTCAGATTTCCTTATGTTATTTATAAAGGCTGGAATTCAGACCCCTTGAAAGCCAGTAGGGAAATCCCTCTTGATTTCATGTGGTTTTGAAGCAGAGGCCCGTGTAACACGTTCTCCCGGTTATGCCATTTCTTCTTCCTGGCTGCTTCTGTAATTGGCTTGCAATCCTGTATTATGTTACACCCATTTTAACAGAATATTATGTCATGACCAAAGAATTATGACCTCCTGGTTTTAACGGGAGAAAGAGATGGCTTATACTGATTATGAGGGTGAAATCCATGTGGTGAAATATCTTCCAAAAGGATCTGTTGAGAATGAGGAAAACTTGAACTTCTGTGGAGTAGGAGAAAACAAATTTATGGCATATATTTTGTATATTTAAATTTTTATCTATGTGTCTGATGTTTGGTAGCACAAAAGTCCCTCTTTAAAACAATCATGTTAGTACTATATTTGCTGAGAAGAAAAGGTGTGTTGTTTGAAACTTCTTGTTATATTGGCTTTTCTTTAAAATTATATTGACAGCATTGCCACAGCTGTAATTGCTGATCAAAAAAACCAAAAATAACAAATTTTAGAAGGTTTTTGTAATCTATATTGATAAAGTTTGAGTTTGAGTAATGCGTTATCAGTAGTAGTTTCTTTTCAGCCTCTGAAAAAAATTTTTTAAATATTTTATAAGTAATTAACTAATGTATATTTTGATGTCCAAACTGAGATTTCTGTAAAAGATAGAGTGTGTGTTTATATGTGTGTATGTATATTAGCATTATTGTATATGTATATATGCATATGTGTACACACATATATATATGCATGTATCTCTATATATACTCATAGATGTGTGCATACGTATATACCCACATAAGTAAAATATTGATGTGTGTTATGAATATACAGTGGCTGGAATGGGTATGCAATTGAAATGCAGATTTAAAGGGCCCTTCACAGCCAGAATGACAGAAGACATGAAAAACCCAGAGGCTGTGAAGGAATCTTTGAATACATGTTACATCCAAAAGACACCAACTGTATATTCTGCTTATTCTCTTTTTTCCTTAAAGAAAGAAAATGGCAGAAGAAAAACTCCAGAGATCTCGCAAAGTTCCAGAATCTACTGGAAAGAAGACGACTTGTTGGTCATGAGAAATCTCTTGAGATAACAGGTTCCTTATTCAGAAAGTGTTTATGCTTTTGTCTTCCTTGTTATGTGGCAAGAGAAGAATTTTTCATAACTCTATGTGAAGTACTTAGCTCACCCTTTCCCCCAGCTGCACTAAGTCTCTGGTGACAAAATGAAAGTCAGTGTTTGGTCAGTCTTGATGTTTCTTCTCTGCACTGGTCTCTTCCCAGAGCAGTTACTTTAGAAACCCTACTACCGAAGCATCGATTTTGCAGTCCAGACCCATGGATACACATGGGTTCTGCAGTGCCAGGCCCTTTGGGGGAAGGCAAAGGTTAGTGTAAACCGTTACATGTTTTAGAGTGTTTGTTCATATTGTGTCCTTCCCATAACAATACATAATAGGAATAATGATCAGGGAATTGAAGCATTCTTGTCCTAAGCAGACTCGGTTGTACACTTTGCCCACCATAAAGCCACTCCTTGTTTTGCTTTTAGTGCTCAAAACTGTTTATGTAGTCCTTCCTAAATAACTGCCCATGTGCTTCCAGACCTCCATTGTATCCCATGGAAACAATGGCTTTTTGTTTTAAAGTGCGACAATACATGAAAAAAATAAAACTCAGCACTTACCTTCAAAGCACTTTAGAAATGTGAACTAAACTTCACGCTTGCGAGAATCATTTTACAGAGGAGGGAAGAGAGGCTCAGGTGGGGTAGTTTCCAAAGGTCATGGACAGATCCATGCCACCCTCCTGTCCCCTGACTGCTGGCCAGCCCCATTGCTTGAGTAAAAGGTGCATCCTACTGCCGAGAGCATGCTATCAAAACGCTGTTAAACGTTTTCTACATCACCTATTGTCTCAGCAGTTTCTGTGTCACAGGGTGAATGACAGTGCTTAGTTACGGTCATTAAAGCTGTAGTCTGTATAAATATGCAATCTGTATATACATACAGATCACATATATACACACACTTATGAAGACTGTATATATGAAATTGTTTGGTATGCACTTATTTTGCTTTAAACTCCTGAAGTTAAACATTATAGTGTAGCAATTTGTGTAAAGTGCACTGTGATTTCAAGAAAGCACAGTAAAGTCACAGGTCTTGTTATTCTTGCACTAAAAATGTGTTTACGTATATTAGCCAATGTATGTCTACTTTATTGCTCCTTTTGACAAATTAAAGCAAATGGTATAAAATGGTATGGGGTTTTTTGGTTTGGGTTGTTTATTTTTAAGTGGACAATGGCACTATGTTTTTAAACGACAGGGTTTTTAAATAAAATGAAATCATTCTGTGTTCATTCCAATGTAATACATTTACCAATATCTTGAAATTGAATGTCATGTTGCTTTTTTTCATATTTCATTAGAAATTGTCAGGTATGTGCCTGAGATTGTGTAGGAGTAAGGAGTAGCTAGAGGCTAACTGTAATCATATATTATTAGCCGTTTCTATATACACAGTATAAATACATATTAATTTTCTTTTCATTTTTGTACTTGATTTTTTTAGGTAAGATGTAACTAAATGTACTTTGATACTTCTGAAGTAATAAGATGTTGTTTGAAGATCAATTCTGCTTTCTTTAGTGCATTGACAATATTTTACAATAATTTAGTGCTTATTTATTTGTGCTCCAGTGTAATTATAATAAAAAGCAATAGTTTAAAATATTTGACTGCTCCTTTTCATTTAATGGTTTTGGTTTAGAGCGGGGTTACTCAGTAGGGACTAGCCAGAGACTTCTGGGAAGAAAAGTCGAGTCATAGATGTATATTTATGATGTTCCCTAGGCACATTTTTAATCGCATCATTTGTGGGAGGAAATGAATTAATTCCTTTAGTAGGTTAGTATTTGCAAGTCATGGCTGGTTGTATCTAATGCCATGAGTGCCATCCTCAACTAAATCCTTAGGATAAGATTTCTTTAAAGAGCAGACAGACATTTTTCTGTAAGTACCTTTCACACTTTGGGATGAAAGATGCTCACTTTGAAGATCTCCCTGCAGAGACCTCTGTTTGCCGAACATCCACAAACAGGAAAGGGACCCATCATGCTCTCAAAAAAGCTCTAAAAACCGTTGCTTGAAAGTCAGCATAATCCTCCTCTTTCCTGGTGGAAGCTTTACTCCCATTGGCATGTCAGACCCAGTCCTTGCAGAGGAATTCCACACTAGGAGGAGGGGACAAGACGGGGGCTGTTGGGGAAGAAAAGGAAGTGTACAACCTTACAAATGATGCTGATCTTCCCATGCTCAATTGTTAAACACGTGATTTTTGTTGAAGTTCTGTAGCCTGGACTCTGTGATTGATATCCTCCCTCCGAATTTTTTAAAACATTTGGTAACTTAAAAGGTTTCCAAGAGCAGGTGAGCAAGTAGATAATAAAGAACCCACTATGAAGCAGACGTGTTCTTGCTATAGCACTGAAACCAAATTTCTCTCCCTTCATGGAAAAAGCTGCCTCTAATAAGCAAAATGGTACTACCCGTGTTTGTATAGATCTGTGTGCAAAAGTGAACCACCAGGAATCTTTTGGTTGTCTTCTTCAGGAGGTAGTCTGAATCAGGCTGTGGATGACCCAAAAAGTGCCTTCCAAGTGCTTCCCTGCCCCTGTGCTTTCCTCAAAACACAGTTTCTCTCTCTTTAGCAGCAACCTCATTTCCAGGTCCCATGTAACAGCTGAAAAGCGTCTCCACCTCTTCATGCTCCTCTTCTTCCCCCCAGCCCCTGGTATGGATGTTCAGAGTGACTTGTTCTCCAAGGCAGACTCCTGCCTTTCCTCCCAGGCTCCATGTTCCACAGGAAGATCCTGTGGGGATGTCTACCAATTAACTGAACAAGGTTTTACAGAGATTTCTCCAGACCTTAAAGAAGAAAAGAGAAGCTGTCAGATTAAGAGTTAGAGTGTT